TCATGGTGGGTTTGGGTCTTCACACTTGCCCACCCCGAGGAATGTTCTAAACAGGAGATCCTCGACCAACCTGCCCACCCCAAGGAATGTTCTAAACAAGCGACCTCCAAGTCAGACTATACCACATATATCCTATCACCCAAATTATGCCAACATTCCAAGCATAAGAAAATGTGCGATAAAGCGGGTAAAATCGGAAAAATCACTGAATTCCATTGACTTTTAACAATCTTTGCAATCTACATCATTGTTCGAGCTCCCAGGCTTCTTAAAAAAAAACAAAAAATTTCAGACATAATATTTTTTCAGATTAGCTATGTTCCATGACCTGGCAAGTGATCGGCCTTCGGCATCCTTGAGTGAGAACGCTCCTCCTGCGTGCACTCGCTCGACCAGGTATGGCCCTTCCCAATTTGGCTCCAGCTTTCCCACATGTTTGAGTACATCGACATGCTTCCAGACCAAGTCACCGACCTGGAGTCTACGAATTTTCACCTTTTTGTCATGAGCGGCTCGCATCCTCTGCTTGTACGCCTCCACCCTGATTGCTGCTCTCCCACGCAGCTCCTCGATAGTATCTAAGGCCACCATCATCAGATCCTCGTTCTGTTCAACATTATACGTGCTCGACCTCTGGGAAGATAACTCGATCTCGACCGACAACAATGCTTCCATTCCATACGCTAAACTGAATGGGGTTTCTCCTGTGGTCGACCTTGGAGTTGTGCGATACGCCCAAAGTACGGAACTCAGCTCATCGACCCATGCTCCCGAGGCCTTCTCCAACTTTGTCTTCAGCCCATTCAGTATAATTCGATTGGTTACCTCGACCTGGCCGTTAGCTTGCGGATGTGCCACGGAGGCAAAGTGTTGCTCATTTTCATATTTTCACACCATGCTCGAATCCGCTTCCCATTGAACTGGGTGCCGTTATCGGAAATCAACACTTTGGGTACACCAAACCGGCAGCAAATGTTATTGTATATGAATTTAAAGGGGATTCATTACCCTAACTCACGGGGGTACGTGCCATACGACAAGACACGGCCTTTCATTAGGTCTTACGGAGACTTACCTCGCAAGGGTAACCGTATTACATCGACGGGGACAACCGTACCGACGGCCGAATCGGCTCACGCCGATAGGCTACATGGTTTACACGCATACTTAGATAATACCAACCCAACATTAAAGTAAACACATATGGCATGGCATTTATAATATGTAAACCCACCTGGACGATAACAAGCGAAAGCACAACAATAACGGGTAGACGGCAAGCTCGGCTCGTCAAGCACCTACATTTATTAAAATAGTCCTATAAATGACTATTTAACACATGAAAAACTAATCATAACAATCATTTAGTTCAACTAAGATCACATAAGCATTTAATCAACGAAGTCCCATTTTCAAAAATACCACGTACGTTTTTCAAAACTTAACCCGGGCAGCGTTTTTGAAATCAACATAACTTGCAGCACATAAATCATTTTAACCTAATTTCAGTGGCATATGAATATTAATACATTCCTATACAATTCTTATGAAGACATCAAAAACAAATAAAGTCAATTACTAGGAGATAAGTCATCAAACATTCAAAACTGAGTAGCAGTAAAAAAATCGAGAACTTGTAACCGACCAGACTTCAGTATTTACTAGATAACTGAAGCTAAGGACATGTTTTTAATGAGATTCAAAAACCACGTGATAGCTAACTCAAATGTCTATAACTTTTCTGAAGACCATATTGGTAAATAATCACATTATAAATGATTTTGGACACAATACATTCGATTCATAAAGTCTGCCCGAGACTA